AGGAAGCAGCAGCTTTCTGCCAAACTGGTTTCAAAGTATCTGTCAGTTTGCCACCAGGTGTTTGTTCTGTCACGTCCCTTCGTGATGAATGACTACAAAGAACCTCGAGGCGGGAAAACAGGCTGACTTTGTGTCCTGTAAGTCTCGGCAAGTCTGGGCACGCGTTTTCCCAAGGAATGTCATGACATTCATATCTACATTTGCATCTTGTGGAAATAATATGCTCACTTACAATAACAATCACAGGTCATTTTTCATCTGTGTCACTCCTGTGAGATGACAAAACTGTTCTAGAGGAAGTGTTTTAAAGGAAATTGCTCATTCGATTCTGCTGTATCAGCAGTAAGACTATCTCTAAATTACTGAACCTGAAAGTTCAAAAGTAAAGATGGGGATAGTTTGGAGGTTTAATCAGTGCAAAAAAATCAAAATACAGTTAAAAATTGACAATTTGTTACCATATATTTGATTATTTTACTGTTTACCCTCATCCTCTTTGAATTTACATTGTATTTAATGCCATAAACAAGTGTAGGTTAGAGAAATGTCCATGACAGGGAAATGATTTTGATGGACGAAACTAACATTTAGTCGTCAAAATCACATTTGACAAAAATAAAAACTGATTTATGGAAGTATAAATCCAGCTTCTCCATCTCTGTGGCTTGGGTCTTCCCCTGCTGATAGAGAACTCCACAGCGAGACAATCAAAGGTAGAATATAAAAACACTCCAGGAAATAAAAGTAAAAGCAGTTTTTTAATTTACTTTTTACTTTATATTACTTTAAATTAAAAATGTAGTCTTTGCCCATTCCTCAGAACAGGCTTTCTACAGATGACCCTGCTGGTCAGGGGCCACCATGCGTGTTCTGAACATACATGAGCGACATTTCCTGCAGGACACCATCAGTGCAGCCAGCAGACACGCAGCAGCAGTGAAGCACAGCGCTGTGGATACAGGTGGGTCTGTGGGTGGTTTGAGGGGAGACCAGGTCCCATCATGGGCTGAGGTAGAAACCTCACTACACAGACAAAGAAAAGTTAAAATGAAGTATATGTTGCTTTAATGGACGCCGGGGCATGTTTGAAGTTGTACTCACCATCTGATGCATGCAGGAAGTGTCCTGACATCATCTAAGGGAGGAGTCACATCAGGGTACAGACATAACCTCCTGTCAGGGCAGAAAACTGCACCATTGTATCCTTTAATCTGATGCAAAAATAAATCATTTTTATATATATGAGATGTTGACTGTATTATCCATTAGGATGTTTTTATATTAAGATGCTCTTAATCATATAAAAGTGGTAATAATAGAAACATCTGTATGAATGAAACAGTTTAAATGCACAAAAACTGCAAATTTAAACTCTCTGAATTAATGCTCATCCAAAAACACATAACACTGTAATAAGCCATTATGTTATTATACCTGAATGTTGCCCCCTGCTGGACAGTCCACCCACTCAGAGCCAAACACCTGGATCTGATACCTGTTCGGTCCGGTACACCTGTGCCTATAACACCGGCCCTCCACAGAGCTGCTGACCTGACTCTGGTTCTGAAAGACAGACGAGAAGTTACAAAGGATTCAAAAGAAAGTGTGAAGAGAGTACAGGGGAGGAACACACACACACACACACACACACACACCTGTGTGCTGAGGCTGGAGAGAAAGCATCTGCTGTCAAAGCCAAAACTCTCCCCGCTCAGCTCATCTTCAGCTGTCCACCTGCTGCTTTCTTTTTTCCAGCATTCACTCTGAAGTGCGAGATTCAAAACGTGTACTAAAGATAAATACATAACAATAATAATAATAATAATAATAATAATAATAATAATAATAATAATGTCCTCTCATCTTCAGTGTTTAGTGTGAATGCACGAAGATACTAAGCTTACTCCATTCTGCAGGGGTTTATACACTCGACAGCCCTCCAGGTATTGGTCAGTCTGGCACTCCCCCTTGTGGAGATGAAGAAAATGACATCCACGTCCACTGAGAAGTACAAATAACACAAACATTTAAGACAAAGTGACAGAATTTCTGTATGAAAATATATGTTAACACTAAATTACTTTCATTTACCTTCCAGTGCAGAAGAAGGACGAGGAGTTATCTTGGCAGGTTGACAGGGAGCCAAACATGGCTCCTTCACCTATTAATAAGTCATAAAAAACTGTTTATTATTTAAAAAGTATGATCACAGAGTGTCTATGTTCAGCTTTTGTTAAGTCTCCTGTTATGATGATGGAGTTTTCAGTGCATTTTCTTCATATTTCAGTTTCCTTACCGTCTCCCCAGACCAGACTCTGAGCCCGGCTCAGGTCGACGGTGTACCACCCCGTGTCCTGTAATGCAGCTAAGGTCACTGGGTCGATCCGAACTGTGCTAGGATCCCCGAGCACTGCCGACATAATGGAGCCCTGCAGGACCCGGGACTCCCAGTGTGAGGACACCCTGCCTGGAGCTGCGTCCTGAGGGGTGAAAGCACCGTTAGGTTTCCTTTTTAGTTTGTTAAAGTTTTCTGCACTTGAAGCTGTGCAGTACCTGGTTCTCCAGTGGCCCTCCCAGCTCCGGATCGCTGGACACCAGGTGCTTCTGCAGGGCTGAAATGACGGACGGGGTGTAAATCCTCATGTGGCCGGATCCGTCAGAGTGACTCGCTTTGCCTCGAGGAGAACAATCAGCACCCACTGCAGGATCCAGCAAAGAAATCGCTGATAAAGAACCACCTTCTGACCAAAGCATGTGATCTTTAATGAAGGTCAGACTCAATACACTCTAACTTATTTTAATGACATAATTTTTTCTTCCTTTTAATCAGATTATGTGTGTTACCACTTAATATTTGCATTTTTAATTCCCAATTTTTGTTCTTCGTCCACACTTTGCACAGTTTCAAAGTAAAGTAAACAAACTTTTGAAGACACCAGCGCATGTGTGGAAGGATGAATGCTTATATAATATCAATTGTTGTTAGATTTTATTATAATAACCTCACTCACACACATTAGGAAAAATGAATTTTTACACAGTTATTACACATTCACTAATGGTTGGTTAAATTACATTTTTTTAAAAAAGGATAAAGTGGTGTAAATGATGTGTTTAAAAACCTTGGGGAGAGGAGGAGTAACAGTGTCTCCAGGTGCTGAAGAGATCCTTAGAAAATCCAAGTGCATGGAACAATTCATGAATGACAGTCTGGAGAACAGAAGAATATAATCTGTCATCATGATCCATCCTTCTCTGTTAAAACAGCCACAGAAACCTCACTTTTCACAGCATGTATCCATAAAAGTAATTGTAACTGTACTGTAGTCTGGTGGCTGTATGTGGCTCCTGTCAGCCCTTCCCTGCAGATGACCACCACCCCAGCTACAGGTCGCCCGTGACAGTCCGTCTGGCAGTGAACAGCGTAGGCCAACACACTGGGCTGAGGAACAAGAAGATACACTGAGGAGGACGTGAAAGCCACGTGGGCGAAGTTTAATTTAGACGCTTTAAAAAAAAATTCTTATAAGAAAGTGGAGAAATATATGATTAAATAGAGCAACAATTTACTGCTGTTTTCAATCATGAATAGAAACTTAATGAAGAAATGTCAAAATGTTTTGGGACTGCTGGTAGGGATGCAACGATACCAATTTTTTCAAACCGATACTTGGATCTGAGTACTTGCCGATACAGAGTACAAAAACTGATACTTCTACCACACAC